CACACACACACACACACACACACACACACACACACACACACACACACACACACACACACACGCACACAGACGCGCCAAAAACAATACCTTCCATTTCATGGAGGTAATAAAAATCCAGAATCAACTGCAAAATGCTCATATTTTGCCCTGAACAGTTGAAAACAGACCTTTTCATCCTACATGTAGTTACAGTTATTCCATCTTTCAATGCAATGGTATCATTAAAAGTTCAAAATTCATTGTTTAAATTTTGAACCAGCCTGGTGTGTTGACTTCATGGCTCCTATCGTACCATTTTGGGCCATAATACGATGCCTAGGCCTGTTTTTATTTTATTTTTTTTTCACCCGCCCGCTCCATTATTTTTCTAGAAAAATCCGTTAACCAAGAAATTAAATTGGTGTGGCCTAGTTGGTAAAATACATGATGAAGAAAAATAAACTGTTTTCCAACTCAAAAAGAAATTTACTCACTGAGCTATTCAGTCAAAAATTTCTGATCTGGTGAGTTAATTTCTTTTTGAGTTGGAGAACATTCATTTTTCTTCATCTAAATCTAGATCTTCTAATTACCTGAAATCCCCAGTAGTCAAAAATTTGCACTGCAAAATGATGTACATATGTACTACTCACTGCTTTAACGCCCCCACCAAAGTCAGGTACCCATTTTAGAGGGCCTGTAAGGGGGGGTCCCGACAACACTCTACGCTGAATTCGGAAACCTCTCGATTACGCTTTACAATAAATTCCAAGTGGCTACAATGCATTACGTAGAATTAAAACGGCGAATACGCTCTACGTGAAATGCGCCAATTATGCTGTACGTTAAATCAGAGTGGTCCGTCTACGCTCTACGTTGAAGTGAAATGGCCGATTACGCTCTACTGAAAAGGGCATGCGGGCCCCCATTTTACACCTGAGCTGTGTGAAGTGCCTTTCCCAAGGACAAAACATCGACATGTAGCCATGAAATGATGAATGCCACGATTCATTGAACTCTTGTCTTGATCTAGCCTAGCCACTAGTACTTGGCCATTTGACATTTGACACCACATATTAAGAATAGAAATAATCTTGGAAAAAACATCTGTGTTATGGTCACTGAATACTAGTAGTACTTTGATCAGTAAATGGTTGGCATCATGAAACATCATCTTGATTTGCAGAAGCCCAGACGGATCAATGCTTTACATAATGTACATCTGCAGGACACCCCTACTGTGACCCCAGAAATAGTCGTCTGGGTTTTCATCATCTCAGTAGTGTTCGCTCCATCCACTTAATCAGGTCACATGGGAAGGGCTTAGCGTTTAAACAGGGCTCCAAATTTATTTTTGGCAATGTCTCAGGGAGGAGCCTAATGGTACAGTATTGTGTGCAGTTTGCAAGAATTCTAGGAATGGTACAGGCATTTTGTCCACAGGAATGGAATGTCCACAGGCATGTCTCTGACCCACATCTATTCCCACATTCCTGGAAACCCTTGGGAAGACTTGTCTGCCCCAGATGGCCCTACTTTCTGTGACCCCAGGGCTTGTTCACTGTACACTCGGGAGGAATGCACTGTATCTGTCTAGATTTAATGCCAGTGCCATGCAAACAATAACCCTAACAGCAACCACCGTTGCCATGGCAATGTACGTTTTCATTGCCAATCTTGTTGGGAAGTTGCACAGGTACACCCAACCTAAAAAACTGGGTGCACAAAAATTTTTTGGGATGCACCATAATATAGGATGAAATATGTAGAATATCAGCAAAAACTACTTATGTTTCATAATTCTAAAGGAAAGTACTATAAGAATGATTTTATTATTTTTTTGAGACTTATAAGTTGTTAATATTATTGATAATAATATTCTGTATACTGCTATACATTTAACAATTGCACAGTACGTTTATTGATTTTTTGAAAACCAGTAATTTTTTTCAACTTCGTGTGAAAAAAATTGACAAATCATCGACGTGAAGACGTTTATAAACGCGTATTGTAGCGAGAAACTTGTCATTTTCGGGCCGGTTTTTGCAATCACCGAGTGCATAAATTCGTCTGAATGTTCTATTGTCATGGGTGGTGCTTATCAAAATACGAAATATTAAATGCTCTTTTTTTTTGTCTATTTAAATTCCTAATTGCAAATAACAGTTAAAGATTTGTGCATATATCAGTAAGGGCGCATTTTAGTACAAGAGACACAGGTTACCCGTCAATTTTGGTAATTTTCCGGGGGGTACGTTTATTCCGGGGGTATGTTTATTTGATTTTGAAGATTTGTCCGGGGGGTACGTTTATTCCGGGGGGTATGTTTATTCGGCAGATGAGAGTACATATGCAAACCTACAAAAATATTGAAGCCACGGAAAAAAATTGGGTGCACAGCTCCAACTTTGGGTGCACTAAGGTGCACTCAGTATTTCTAGCCCTGGTTTAACGGATTGTATGTCTGTGTAGAGTAGCATGTCGGCAGAACGTACTGCACCTGCACGAAACCCGTAATGTATTGTATATAGCATTTAGGCAGAATGTCTCATATAAGGTTGTATTCGCTCGTATAAGGTTAGCATTTCGACAGCAGTTTCCAAATGTTATGTCGGAAAGAATATCCTCTGCAACAGGCAAAATTCTGATGCAACGTTGACCAAAAACCCAACGAAAAACGCAAAAATACGGGGTTCTGCGCAGGCGCAGTACGTTTTGCCGACGTGCTATGTAGAGTCAACCTGGCAGTGTGGTGTGGGCTTCCATACATTAGGCCACACCAATTTAATTTGTTGGTTCTCGGATTTTTTTCAGAAAAAATATGAAGCGACAGGGCGAAAAAAAATAAAAATAAAAACAGGTCTAGGCATCCTATTATAGCCCCAAATGCTACAATATGAGCCATGAAGTCAACAAAAAAGGCTGGGTTAAAATTTAAAGTATAAATTTTGAACTTTTAATCAAACCACTGCATTGATAGATGGAAAAAACTGTAACAGCTAGGAAGAAAAGGAATTTCCTCAACTGTTGGGGGCAAAATATGAGCATTTTTGAGTTGATTCAGAACCAGAATCTTTTTTTTTTTTTTTTCAAATCAGAAAAAAATGAAGAGGCGAATCCGAGAACCAACAAATTAAATTGGTGTGGCCTTATGAGGCTTTTATTCCAGGTGTACATGACTTTGTACTAGCCTTAAAAGGAACCATAAAGTTGAATGACTTTTGAAGACAATTCCATCAATCATGATCATGTGAATTATGCATTCCCAATTGGAATTATGCAGTGTCAGCAATATCAGCTTTTAAAGGCCTCTAAAACTGAACATTAGGCTAGAGATGCATGTTTTATACAGGTTTTGCACAAAACCTTTCTTCCAATGCCCTTTACTAGTAAATTATTCAGAGGTGTTAATAAGTCCCCCTAACTGTAACACCTGGTACTGAGCTGTTATCACACAGAATATACGTCAATATACAATGTATATGAAAATGACATCATCAAAAAGACTGACATATTTTGTACACTTCAGATTAGCTGGAAACTAAAGGATTAAAAAATGCCCTGCGAGTTTATTCCTTGTTTCTATAATCTCATTTTTTTATCTCCATATCTTATACTTTCTGTCTGGCTAATTTATTTAATTGCTACCACAAACATTTGTGTCCATAATATCACCAGGGTCCATAATATCACCACCTTGAGAAACAGTGTGCTTAAAGATATTTTTACTGCAACATACTTTTGGTATGCACTCCTTCACACCTCAAATGTACATACCTAGGGTATGTTGCAGTAAAAATATCTTTAAGTTTAAGCACACTGTTTCTCAAGGTGGCGATATTATGGACCCTGATGATATTATGGACACAGATGTTACAAGTATGGAAGGGTTTTGTCTTTTGAATGTTTAGTAGTATTTGAGTATTACATGTAGTTACTGTAGAACTACAGTGAGCTAAGGCAAAATACATACAAATGTATCCAATTTGTAGAATATTGATTTTCTTAAATGTTCAATGTTTTTTGTGTGTGTTTTTTTTTACAGGGGGAGAAAAACAATGGTTTTGATGTGGTGTACCATAACATGAAACATGGACAGATCTCAGTCAAGGAGATGGTGGAATATCTACGAGAAAGGTCAGATTTATCTTGATGATAGTCTGTAGGAACAGAACTAAGGCCACACCAATTTAATTTCTTGGTTAACGGATTCGCCAGCTGCATTTTTTTCTGATATGCAAATAAAAATAAAAATTCAGAATCAACTGCAAAATGCTCATATTTTGCCATGAACAGTTGAAAACAGTCCTTTTCATCCTACCTGTAGTTGTTACAGTTATTCCATCTTTCAATGCAATGGTATCATTAAAAGTTCAAAATTCATTGTTTAAATTTTGAACCAGCCGATGGTACAATTTTGGGCCATAATACATGTAGGATGTCTAGGCCTGTTTTTATTTATTTATTTTTTTCGCCCGCCCGCTCCATTATTTTTCTTGAAAATCCGTTAAACAAGAAATTAAATTGGTGTGGCCTAAGTAAAAGTTTATTTAATAATTTAGGATCATTTTATTTGCCATTTTTGCACCTTTCTATCATACAATTTAGGCTTGGAATAATCATGTAGCTTTCTGTGAATGACTTCATCATGTTGGCAAGAGACTTTATTGAAGTGAACAACCCACTAGTTAACAGTATAACACTACATTGTACATTGTAACAATCGTGCAGCTTTCCAAAATGTACATGTAAGCAGCTGCATGGAAGTGGCTTGTAAGCCAAAAACAGGAAGTTCATGCTATGATGTGAAGTTTAATTTTGGAATTTGACTTCTAGAATATGTTGTGTGAAAAATTCATCATGTTTTTCATGAAATTATTTTTGTGTGCAGTGCCAGTGTCCAGGAGTTGAACTCCAAGTCCTGGAACAAGCTGGCCAAGCAAGCTGCTAACAGCAGTCAACAAGGGTGAGTATTCTAAATAATGTATATACATGTATAGAATACAACACGGGGTATTCCGTATTGCCCGAGGTATCGGCCCGACTGCCGCAGGCCGGAGGGCGATCCGACTCGCGGGAGGGCCGGGACCGAGGGCGATGCGGAATACACCGTGTTGTATTTTATTTATGTCATACCCACCCAAGAAAACACGCCTTTCAATGCAAGATGAGCCAAAAGTTGGTGCCACTAAACCCTAAAATGCAACAACATCAATTCCAACGTCTGGATTCTGTATTCGAATTTTCGAAAGGGGCACAAGCGGGTAGGGCGAAACGCGTTTGAATCGTTTTATGGAAGCCATGGAAGCGTTCGATAACGGGTTACGGACCGGGCCGTACCGTTAAGTACGGCCTGGTCCGGAACCCGTTATCGAACGTTATCGCGGCCCGGGTATGATATAAATCTGTATACTATATGTGACCATTGCACGCTGCATTTTCAAAACAGAAAGTTGAAAGAAGGTGTATTTTAACCTTTATTTCAAATCTACAGAATCTATTCCAGCATCACTGTATCAGTAGTCCCGAGTGCAAATGTGGGCATCCAAATGAGACACCAGAACACTATCTATTACATTGCAAATTTTATAATACTGAAAGGACCAAATGTTGTTATCCATATCTTGCCTTCATCTTGAAAACATACTTCCTTCCGACCCACTCAATGTAAACGACGCCACATTATGTACTTTACTTCTTACAGGTAGCCCCTCCCTCCCATACCCTACTAACTGCCGTATCTTTGATATTGTGTTTAACTACATTTGTATATCCACCACTCTGGAAGATTTGACCAATCTCAATAATGTTATGCTAGGTATTGGTGCGCCAGCCACTTTCATTTTATGTTAATGCTATACTTTATGTAATTTTTATGTTTTCATTTGTATTATGTTTTATGAGCAGCGGATTTACATAAGCACAACAAGTGCTTCCTATCCAATGCCCAAAAATCCATGTGAATAAAATATAAAAAAAATCTACAGAAAGATTTGTGTACTCGAAGCTTAGGCCCAGTTCAATAGGATACTTGTAGCAATGTCAATATTTCTGTTTCACACTCAACAGTCATTTGCAAATCATGTGTGTAAAGAACCAAAGTGAGAACTTTGTGTTTTGGTGTGCTATGTCACCATTAAAAAAGTGCCCCCTGTCAATTCAGAGTAGAAGTGCAACCAGTGGTAGTGACAAATATGTCTGATTTTCTCTCCTATTCCAAAGTGAGAAGTCTGTGTGCATGGGTGTGCTTGGTGTGTTTTGATGTGCTAGGTCACCAATCATTATTTAGTGCCCCCTGTCATCAATTCGCACCAATACAAAGTCAAAACCATGTCAATACAAAGAAAGACAAACTGGAAAGGGTGCAGAATCAAGCTGCAAGATTCTGTATGAACAACTATGAAAGAGGTGCTAGTGTCACGGAAATGAAAAGAAACCTACATTGGGCCCCACAGGAAGACAGAAGAAAGATGTCCAGACTGTGCATGATGTACAAAATGACTAATAAACTGGTGGACATCCCAACTACTAATTACCTAATACCATCCCAAAAGAGAACAAGAAATAGCCATGCTTTCAAGTACCAGAGTTATCAACCAAGGATTGAGGCGTTCAAGAATTCATTCTTTCCTAGAACTATCGCAGAGTGGAACTCACTGTCACCAAGTACAGTAGGGGCATTGTCAATAGATAGCTTTAAACAATGTCTAGAGCTAGAAGTTCAAGGGTTAGGTGTAACAAGTCGATCGGTGTAATATAGCCAGCTGCCGCTGCACCGCGTGCCTGCGAAGCTGATGTGTTAAGCTTAAGGTGTCCTCCCTGGCTAATTTGGCATTTTAGCTTTCTATCATTTTCTCACAAAGAAATTTAGAAAGAACTGTAGTTGTACTGAATATTGATACCTGGGTACAAAAGGGTTAAGAATATGATTTTTTGGACCATATGGATGACGTCATCACATTTTATTGCCCCAAATGTAATTATCTTTAAAGTTATAATACAGCACTTTGGTACAAGTAACTGAAATAAAAGTATGATTTTCATCTGCATAATGGTCAAAGCTACAAACGTACGTTTGCACAAATTGATATCTACTAATCATTCGTAGTTATTAGAGAATAACCTAATTACCTAATTAAAATTTAGTTATTCTGATCTCTAATAACTACGGGTAATTAGTAGATATCAATTTGTGCAAACGTACGTTTGTAGCTTTGACCATTATGCAGATGAAAATCATACTTTTATTTCAGTTACTTGTACCAAAGTGCTATATTATAACTTTAAAAATAATTACATTTGGGGCAATAAAATGTGATGACGTCATCCATATGGTCCCAAAAATCATATTCTTAACCCTTTTGTACCCAGGTATCAATATTCAGTACAACTATAGTTCTTTCTAAATTTCTTTGTGAGAAAACGATGGAAAGCTAAAATGCCAAATTAGCCAGGGAGGACACCTTAAAGGCGGTTATACCGGCAATACCAATACAGATACAGAATTCAGGGTAGAAGTGCAACCAGTTTCAGCATGAGAAACATGTCCTATCTTCCCCCCTGTACCAGGACGTTCTCTCCCGTGTGGCAGATCATCCGTATGATGAATGAGAAGATGGCTACCGTGTACACTGAGCTGGTGCACAGGCTACAGGAGGTGGCCAAGGAACTACAGAAGTACGGCGAGGAACAGCGCAACAAACACAAGTCTGTAAGTCATGCTGTACAGCTCAGAAAAATTTACCAGTACAGTCAAACCTGCCAAGGAGACCACAGTCTTCAAGCAAGCCATCTGTCCATGGTGACCGCTTTTTCTCGGTCCCAAATATTTTCCCCATTGACACAAGCATTAAGCAACCTGTCCAAGGTGACCACCTGGTCAACGCGACCACCCTGAGTTGGGTCCGCTCAAGCCTGATACCTGCCCATGATGACCACATCATTTTTGATCATGTTGATTAATGATGATAACTAATGAGAAATCATGGAGAAACCAGCCAGTTTTCCTTGTATGATGTTTTTGTTCGAGGTAAATTGTTCCATGTGCCACCCTCCCCACATGCATTTACAGCATTTGACATTAGAATATCTTGACTTGGAAACCATTCATGTCTCAGTCATGTTGTGAGGTGACCCTCTTCAAGGAGACCACCTGTCCAAGGTGACCACTTTTCTTTGGTCCCCTGGGTGGCCGGCTTGGACAGGTTTGACTGTGTTGAAACTCAGAAATATTAGAAATAGATTGCATAATAGCAATCCAAAAGTTAACGCCTTCTGTAATAAACAAGAGGTACACATTTGCTATATTCGTGCTCGAAAAGTAAGGACCTCTGTCTACTGGCCCTACATGTACATGTACCTAGGCTGTCATGTTGTATTGAAATCATTAGGTACAGTATAGTAGGGACACCACCAGGCACCTTGTAATGTGACATAATCCGAAACAATGCAGGACTCAAAATTTAGGTGGTCCAATAGCCACTGACCACTAAAATTTAGGCTGGGACACTAAAAATTTGGGACACTTTTGGGACAATAGAAAAATAATCAACATCAGAATGTCAGCCCTTGTCTATCAGGCACACGTCCCAGCTTTTGGATCCAGGAAAGTCCCCCCGAATTTCCTGTCCACTCTGCAATTATAGTGCACCTGGGAGTGAACATACATGTAAGCAAAATAAAGTTGACTTCAGGTTGAAGTCATAGACTTATACAATACTTCCCAAAAAACAGGTTGGGACAGTTCATCCTCACTTTAGGACAATTGAAATTTATTTTTGGGACAGTGCTGGGACAATAGGAAGAAATGTTAATTTTGAGGCCTGACAATGGCCCATACATGTACAATGTACATGTAGCTGGTGATCAAGCCACTGCTTTACACAAATGGGTTAACTTTACTAATTTTTGTACTTTTTCAGGTAAAAGAAGAAGTCCAACCTACAGCAGACGTGGTCACAAGTTTCCAGGGCACAACAGCTGCTGTCCTCAAGGTGATGCCTTCTTATGTGTGACCTGAACTTCTAACAACATGGAAAGCCATATCATTTGCAGAATTCCACATGTTTTCCTCACATTTTCCTCTATGTATGTTCACTGTAGCAAAGATAAGGGAGAATTTAGTAATAGTTATTGGTATTGCTTATTGATTTCCAGAATAATGTTGGTCGTAGTTTGTTGCTGTGAAACTAAAAGTCAGGTACTGGTATAATGTAGAAATTACTTTTGTTTTCTTAGGCAAAAGAAAACTACAACACAAGATGTCTTGAGTACGAGAGGTTAAAGAGAGAAGGAGCTAGTCCAAAGGAAGTAGAGAAGGTAAGATGGCAACATTTTGGGGCATGGCACATCAATTGAAATTTTGTTGTTGAAATTTTTTTGCTATTTGCCTTTGCCAATTGTATTAAGTACCATCTGGTACATCACTAAAGACAACACTAAATACATAACTAATGTTTGGATCAATATAATGTTTTCTAGGAATTATACAGAAACCCACAGCATTCATATTTCAAAGTTTGAAATTTTACCCTTACATGACTAGACAAGATAGTGATAGTGAGTGTGAGTGATGACATTGTGTATATTGTGACTTTCTGGTCATTAGTGTCACTTACAACTTGTGCCTTTTGTCTTATTTCTTTACAGGCAGAGGCGAAGTTTACAAAAGCAAGTAAGTTTCACCTGTTCTTTGTTGCTATTTGTCCTAAGAATAATTGTAAAACTTTGTCTTTTTGTTGGTTTATGTAAGATTGTATTAAAAAATAATGCAAAGCAAGTATCCAGGAAAGTATATGGAAAGTAATGAATTTTGTCTGACTATTAATATTAGTCATATAAGATGAACCATAACTTGATGAACAATTTTACTACTTAGTCAGTTATAGTGCTGCATACCGGTTCGCTGGACTTGGATCCGGACTTGTAACAATGTTTAGGTTCAAGTCCAAAAAAACCTAAAAGTCAAGAACTGAGTCCGGACTCATTACCATAAAAGACCATTTCACATTACCCCTTTTCTTTCCAAACCACCTAAAACCTTCCGTAGATTGCAAAATCTTTGCTGCAAAATGAAGAAAACATTGCATCGTCAAGTACCGGCCTCCATGTTATGTGGCCAAAGTTTCAACCAGACAACATTGCAAGGTTGCCAACATGCAATTTTGTATATGCCATGGGTTTAGGTCTGGAACTGAACCTAAACCTCTGGACTTGAATCAGGACCTGAACCTAAATGTGGGTTTACGTATGCATCACTAGTCAGTTATTGGTACTCTTTCCCTCACCCCTGTTTTTCATCCTTACAGAGGAAGACTACACACAACTAGTTGAAAAGTACGAGAACACTAGAGTAGATTTTACCAAGAAAATGACAGACACAAGCAATGTAAGTATGAACATGCTCTGCAAAAATGATCTACAATGAATAGCACTTATTATAGTTTTGTCTGATGCTGTTGTAGATACAAGTTATTAAGTTTATCTGTGATAGATTTTGTATCTTGTCATGTTAGTCCTGTGCCTTAATTTTGTACCTTTATTATGTGTTATTGCTTTTAGATATATCGGAAATCTAGAGATCTATTATTATTATTATTATATTAGGCCACGCTGCATTAATTTTATGGATGACATCCGCGTGCGCATTGATTTTCGCCTGTCGCCCTCAAAAAAAAAAAAAAAAAGATCACGTCCACCGAGGCTCTGGCCTGGCTCTAGGCCTGGGTAGTCCATGGTAGTCAGCGACAAAACGGAGCCGAGCACCCAGGCTATCGAAATCGAAACTCCGCGACTCAAGAACTCAGTACATAAGTACAGTACCGATTCATAAATGCCGCAAAAAGCCAGCATGTGCCGGCTTGTCGTATACGTTGCTAAGTACTGCCGCGAATTCACAATACCAGCTTTGTATTCCTGTGGTTTATATTATTAGTAGCATTTTTATTTTCGCCGGAATTTTTTTTTTTATTCGACCGCGCACACTAGTTTGGGGGTCTTCAGAGGATGTCATCCATAAAATTAAATCGGTGTGGCCTTAGTATTATTTATTTGGCCAGTTGCTAATTCGCTAAGTTGCTAAGCTTAACTGACAAGTAGAACTATATAATTGAACCTTCATACCAGCATAGTTTTTGTGACTTTTAACTGTGATATTTTCCAATTTCAGCAATTTCAAGAAATAGAAGAAATCCACCTTAGTTATATGTTTGACATCATCGCAAAATACGCCCAGTGTTTCCACCATGCACACTTCACTATAATGCAGGTAAAGCCAAGAAGAGTTCATCCAGTGTCAGTGTATATTGTTGGCTTCTTTGAGGAATGCAACTTGTTGTTTTGGTTCCTAAGTAAGGCCATGTTGATTTGATTATATGGATGACATCCTCCGGGAACCCCAAAACTG